CCTCGTTAACTAAATCGTTCCACCTTTTCCACCAGTGGACCAAATGCAAATGGTATTGTCTGGTCATCAATTATGAAAGCAGCATTATCCTCCCTCGTTAGAACGGATCCCACGTCCAAATTTATAATTCGCGTCGTGTATGAGACGTGAATCTCAACTTCCATCATTACATCCGTTATTGAATGGGAAGAGAATTGATATTTTCCTCCAGGATGCCACATACAAAACTCATTATTTCTTCAGCAGTGCTTAAATCCATTAATTTATTAAAGCAGAACGAGTGTGTGGGATAAAATTTCTAGGATAAAATATTAAGAAACTCAACTGTTTATGATCTAATAAACTGCCAACAAGTCCCTCAATTTGTTGTTCTCATAACTGTAATTGTCGATTTATCATTTTTTTCCTCACTTGAACAAAATGATAGCAGTAAACCTCCATTTTTCCATCATAAATCGTGCTGCCGTGTTACCGAGAATACTGTGAAAAATTCTGCCATGCAACTTGTACTACTGCAGTACCCGAGATTTTTTTTATCCCCAAGTTATTGCAGATCAAATACAGAGAGACTATATTTTTTAAGCCCGATAATAGAGTTTAGCCGGTAATCACGTTAGTCGATGTTTGAACGAGATATTTTCTCGTAGCAATTGGACTTTCTTAATTACATTTATACGTACAAGGGAAATAGGAGGAGGTTATATGATGAAGTAGACAAGTCCAACAGGTTGGCACAATGGCATGTATACTAACGTTCCTCCCCTCTTGTGCAGTCCCATAGATTGGTCCTTGAATTTGCCCAAACAGTTTTACGCCAATATCGTATCTTTGGAGTGCAAATTACTGAAAATTATTCCATTCAACAGGTGTTGAATGAATGGCTTCAAATCAATGCCAGATTTTCTTTTATTTGAGGAAAGAATGAGTTTATTTGTTCAATGGAAATTTGAATTTCTCCTGAGAATGTAGGAATGTTATGGGAAAATTGAATATAGTGGAGTTATTTAGGAAAAATATCAGGGACAAAGAGATGGACTCTAATAATTTAATTTTTTTAACGTTTTGATCAACTATAACTGTATCGTGGGAATTAATAGTTCTTGGAAGAAAAATAAAAACTTGTCTTGTAGCTGGAGTAACTCATTATCGATAAAATTCAAAAGGAAGAATTTATTATTATTACGAGTAAAAATACCAATTTTTGTGCCAACATGATCTTGTAATCATCAATTCAACTAAACAATTCCATCGTCCATGATTCTTTGTACCGTTCTACTGGTGAAATCTATTCATTTATTCATATAACTTTTTTTTTAATGTGTAAAAACTACCCAAAAGATAAATGAAAAAATATACAAGAGAACTCAGAGCTGAATGTCAATTAGTTTTTCCTCCGCAATGAAACCCAGTGAGTTTCATTAGCATTTTAGTAGAGCTAGAGTCGTTGTATATGCAGTAACTAGTTGAAAAATATATTCAGCTGATATTTTTTCAACGGTTAGTTCGAATGACTAATAGAAAACCGGAATTTTTTTATAATTGAAAATGTTACTCATCTGTTGAGGGGAATTTAATAATTTCTCATAGTCTTCTCTGTAGTCAAGTTGGAAATTGTTTCTTGAAAACATTTAAAATGAAATTTTACTCATTAGGTTTATGACTTTACCAATCTCCATGATGAACAGTAAATCGAGAAGTAACTCAACATCATATAACTACTTAGACGCTAAACGTTTGACAATTCGCATCTTGAATTCCCCCCTGTAGGTATTTATATATGACAAAGTGGAAGGCAAACGAGAAAACTGTGAATATTTAAATGACTTTAGGCCGTTCACCTGCCCCCTGGCATGCTTGCAAAAACAACTTGGTGGTTATATTCCATGTGACTGGTTCGTATATCCAAAAACCAGTCGACTGAGCCGGTTTCGATGACTGTACGAATTATTTACCGATTATACATGGTTGGATATGTAGGAGATTGAATTATCTCAATTGAACAAATTGTCAATATGATAAGGTATGCATGAAGTTGAATCGATGGAAAAAAAAAAAAAGAATCCTATCAGCTGGTCGGAAATTTTATTTAGCACTGTTGAAAGGACAATTTTTATGAGCGTTGGAATTTTTTATTCTCCCATAAAATGACACACGTTTCATGGAAGACGATGTGGAAAATGAAGAATTATGGGGCTTTGAACCTTACATCACGAACAGAGTCTCTTAAAATGAGGTCGCGTCCGTGCAGGACTTGATCTTCAAATCCGCTGTCAAGGCTTAAAGCCCTGAAACACGACGAACAATTTCCGAAATACCCGACAGGGCACGTCTCTACAGATCCGTTGGAACTTGTTCGCTCTCAGGTTCATCCTCGTGTGTGCATGTGTGAGGATTGTGCGAGGAGACAAGCGATAAAACCACCTTTCCTAATCTTTACTGGGTGAACAATAGTTGTGATGGTGGTTGGTATGAAACACACTGCGGCCAGCAATGGGTACAATAGCCTCTTATTCCCTGTGTGGATGAAGAATTAGGAAAACGCAGAGTAGTTTGTGAGTACACTCGCATTATGACATGTCTACACCACAATTCACCACTTCATTATGAAGAGAGGACTGCACAGAAGGTTTTCTCTCCTTTAATTTCTCATTTTCGTTCTTATTTCGAGAATAATATTTTCTCGTCTTGAATTGTGGAGAATTGTGTTGATGAATTAAGAACAATATACTTTATTTGAAGAATTATTTTCCTCAGGGAACGTGTTATCCACGGTTGGTAGCCCATAAAACAATACGATCGACTTGATAAATCATCGTGGCATGACAGAGGGTGTGAGTTTATTGTTTTATTAATTTTTCTGGCTGTCACCAGAAGCACCTTAATATACAGCAGATTTTCTTTTTCCATCATTTTTTTTTCAACTCTCCATTCCTCTTTACTTTTGTCACTACTTGTACTACATTACGATTGCAGGGCTATAGGATTGAAAAGTGAACGTCAGATGTGAGTGCACTTCACCAAGCTGTTGATGCCTAATCCGATCAGTCGCATTGAGACAAGTATCTTATTTATATTGTTTTCATCTAAGCTACAATGGATGTTTCCGATCCTCAAGAGACACTTGGCCGAGTGCTTTCAGTTGTGAATCACTGATGAAGAGAAAATAGTAGCTATATAAAAATCAAGGATCAAAGCCATAGGAACAAAACGATCTTTGAAGTGCCATAAAATTCAACAATTTGTATATGGTTATCCACACATGTTTTATGCATATGCGAAAGGTATTCAAGCTGAGGTTTATTTACGAGCGACAGAGCTTTATGTTACCGCGCGTGGTGCATGGGTGATCGTGTATAAGCGGCAGGACCCGGGTGGTGAACGCGTTCCACAACGGAACTTGGTGGTTCGCCCTATCGACAAAGTGGCCGTTAGAGTGCCACGCTTCTGTACACATTACACTCTATACGGCCCGCTTGCCATTACAAATAAGGATGAAACGTGCGGCTGAAACCACTTGTTTTTTATATTACAAATTTTAACCCCCCCCCCTCCCCCCTGCTCCTCACTTTTCACTTCCGGTCGAACTATTTGCAATGCTAACGAAATATCCCGTAATCTGTTGGTATGAATAAAACGGGCTTTTTTATTGCTCGCGAATGGATGCATGGGATGAGTTCAAATTTTAATATAAACACATGAAAGAGGGAAAATAAAACGGCCAGTTTTAGAGCTTCATCCATCCAATAGTTTTCGAAATGACATGCTCCTTTTGCAACTCAATTTATCACAAAAATCAGAAAAAATGAAAAATAAATATTTTCAATTTCTTTCAATTTTCCAGACAGGGAGATTTTTAAAGCTAGAGCATTTCAACATTTTTATTTGATTTTTTTTTTCTAAAAGACTGGTATATGTCCCTCTAACTCCGACGCCTTCATAGTTCAGTGCATGGGGATTATCGCAACCTCGACTTTCCTGCATAATGCATCACGTTGACACGTATGCAAACCCACGCGCGGCGCTCACACCAAGAGTGCAGCGATGTTGAGTGTAACTATGCAGAGGGCAATTGAAATTTCCCTTTCTCATGTGTTAGTTTTGTTATTTGCTGATATTCTTTTACTTTTATGATGTACTTTGATGAATCACCCTGGCGGCCCAGAGGTTTTTAATTTCTTCTCTTTAAAGAGGATATGCTTTCAGAGGCTGACGTACATAATGCAGACCGCTCGTACGATATACACGTAGACCAAGATATCCAGATGGAGAAAAATAAGAAGAAGCGGAAGTGATGGGAGGAAAGGGAAATGAGGATACAACGCTGGGATATCTTGTACGGTGAATTTGCTCGTCCACGGAAATATGAGGAGCGTGTTCCGGGCTACTTTACAGGCAGACCGTTTTCATTTTTTTTTCTCCCTTTCGTTATATTCTTCTTCAGAAATGCTGTAGGATACTTGGAACTCCGGAGGAGTAAAAAAAAAAAAGTTTATGGATTTTACGTCAGAACCTTGACAATTTTCTTATCCATCTTACTTCATAATTCAATGTAAGAAAACAGTGGTAGAAAGGCGTGGAACAGAATCACCAGAAGATTGATCATTCTAAAAATGCTGTGAATATAATTAACGTGACTCGGTGAGAATTATCAACCACTGTCAATGAATACATACACGTGGAGGAACGATAAAGAATGACATGAGAAGAATCCAATGAAAATGTGATGGATTATATAATCGTTACGTAAATTATACGGATGTAACCGCTCAATTATGTGTAATTTCAATGAATTCTCGCACGGTATTCATGATTGATCGACCAATGGTTCCATCATTACTTGGACGAGTTATTTATGGACTAAAGTGGTTTGTCAGTCAGTCAGCCGATAAATTTTCATCGGGATTCTATAAATTTGAAAAAATTATGGCAATGAATTGACAGCTCCCATTGGTGTAGATAATGTTGCATAATAACATTATTTCATAAACCGAATGACATACCTGTTATACGAAGCAATGCATCGCAGTAAACTCTAACAGCAATGACAATTCTATACAATTTTTCATTTGGCTGAAGAAAATATCACAAGGTGTATCACAGCACGTAAAATTGACTACACGTGGTATCACAATTGGACACTCGTATGTTACGATTCTACCCCAAGAATATATACACGAATGAGCGCACTTGCCACGTTGAAAAATAATTCCGCGAGAAATACTATACACAAAGGTCCCGTCAAATAAAAAAAAAAAGTTAATAAAATAAATAAATAATAGTTGGTGTGAATCGTCGGTATTTCTTGGTACTTCTCCGGTAGTTATCTGGACATTTTCCTCTTCCTTTCCAAAGTATCTTCGTTTTTCACCAACTTTTTTACTAGGCGGCAATCGTTGCAGGTCGTCCCGGCGGCCGTTCTCATCCAACTCACTCGTCTCAAGACGACTTTAATTATACGCCGCAACAATTTACGGGCATCCGGCGCGTTCTACCAGGTATATACATATAACTCCAGTGATAGTGACTTTTTTTACCAGTTATTTTTCAAATTTCTTTTGCCATTGGCTATGACACGATAATAAAAACACTCTGATATTGCGTTTTTTTCAACCCAACTATTTTTTCATTCAGTTTACTTGGTTGACAATCACACCAACGTGATATCAGTCGTACACTTGATACTTGATGAAAACGGTTACGTGTCAGGCCGTCAGGGTCGAGCGATTGGCATTATCAAATCAAAATTGATAATTATTAATTTATATTTTATGTATTCACTGTCAAATAGATTGCAGTTGTAATCGTAAAATCTTGTATTCAACTGTTGTGTATAAAAAAGGATGAGTTACAAGTTTTCACGTTGAAGAATAATTCAACAGGCTTGAAAATTTATTCAGCAGATTATTCACTCCGAGGTAAACTGTCTTGTTAAAATTGTTGATACATCCGATGCTCCAATATTTACATACACAGCATTGATAAATCAAAAATTTATACGAGATAAGAGTGACAAAGTTGTTGATTGCACGTCCATCGGAGTACTGACTTGGCCGTCTGAAACACACTCAGGGGAAACCGCACACGGTACCCTCTGTTCATTGGCTTTCCCCACCAATGCGCGATGTGGCGCGGCACCAGCATCAGTTCAACATACGAAGCGCCGGTGTGACTCGACTGTGACCGAGTCGACGCGATGCGGCGCGAAAATTCGTTACTATACCAACCCCCTCGAAACCGGCTTATGGTATCTAGCTTATGAGTATGTTATGTTTATTTCAACAATTCTACGTGTGGAAAAATTCGAGATGAATGAATCATCATGGATCATTAAGAGAATAACAATTATATCCGCAATTTCATAATAGTGCAGCAGCGTAATAATGCCAAAAGGGATAAAAATTTAATTGTCTCGTGATGATCTGTATGATTGCACCTCTATTATTGAGAATGGCGTGTTTATGAAATGAAGTCGATGAGAATCAGGAGGAAGAACACTTCAAGTTCGACACTCCGCAAAACTACCATTGAATATTTAAATCTCCTTTCGATAATAGATCCAAGAGAAGTGATACATATCCATCAATAACGGGGGGTGGGGGGAATCGTTACGGTCTCGCGATGGTGAAATGCGTGTTGCTGAATTTAGTTAATTTCCCTAGTTAACTCGACTCTCTATAGTCCACTATGGTGTTTTGATGTACTTCAGTCTGAACTTTGATCTAATAACCATTCGCACGCGATGGCGATTATATCTTCATCGTAAACTGATGCCGCGCGTGGCGAAGTTAAAAGAGCGTTGAGACAGCTAGCGGATTGGATATGAGGAAGATAGAGAACTAAGACTCACGTTTTCCACCCCCGCCCAACCCCCGCTCACTCGATTGAACCACCCTCGCTCTTTCTGCTGAAAAGACCCCCCCCCCC